AATTTTTTGCAGTAGGTAGCTTATACCTTGAAGGTGTGCCAGATGCACATCAAATTTCGCTGTATAAAAGGGGGGGCCCCGCACGAATTATTTCCCGAGATGCTGTTTTTGAAAGTAAAACGGCAATAGCTTTTACATACGACAACAAATTGGTCTCAGATTTTGCATACGAATGCCTTTAATGGCGCCAAGTTAAACTTTAGAAAATGGGGGGGGGGATACATACACGTTCTACGCCATCATACACATGAATGTGGCCTGTAGAATCCATAATTTCAAACAGTTCCAAGATTCGACTACTAGTTCCAAAGTTACAGCCCTTTGAATTTTTTTTCGAAATTTGTTTTTAGTCCATAACTTTTGATTGAGAAGTCTAATCGAAATAGTAAGAATTGTTTTGGATTCTACGCACCAAAATTAATAAGAAAAAGTGTTTTCCCGAGAAATTTTGGTGTAGTCAATTTTTGGTAAAAAGGAAGGTTATACACTGCCTTTTTTTGAGGCCCGAAAAAAAAATTGTTTCAGATCGACCCGGGAAAAAAATTTTCTGATAGAATGTGGCCTGTAGAATCCATAATTTCAAACAGTTCCAAGATTCGGCTATTAGTTCCAAAGTTACAGCCCTTTGAATTTTTTTCGAAATTTGTTTTTTTGTCCATAACTTTTTATTGAGAGGTCTAATCGAAAAAGTACGAATTGTTTTGGATTCTACGCACCAAAATTAATAAGAAAAAGTGTTTTCCCGAGAAATTTTGGTGCAGTCAATTTTTTGTAAAAAAGGAAGGTTATACACTGCCTTTTTTTGAGCCCCGAAAAAAAATTGTCTCAGATCGACCCGGAAAAAAATTTTCTTATAGAATGTGGCCTGTAGAATCATAATTTCAAACAGTTCCAAGATTGGGCTACTAGTTCAAAAGTTACAGCCCTTTGAATTTTTTTTCGAAATTGGTTTCTAGTCTATAACTTTTGATGGAGAAGTCTGATCGAAAAAGTACGAATTGATTTGGATTCTACGCACCCAAATTAATAAGAAAAAGTGTTTTCCCGAGAAATTTTGGTGTAGTCGTTTTTGGTAAAAAAGGAAGGTTATACACTGCCTTTTTTTGAGCCCCGAAACAAAAATTGTCTCAGATCGACCCGGAAAAAAATTTTTCTTATAGAATGTGGCCTGTAGAATCCATAATTTCAAA